AGGTTCATAATTCAATGAATCTTGAAAGCGAAGACTGGTCTATTGATGATATTTTACAAAACAAATAATCTCTTTTAGTATAAATAAAAAAAAAAGTTTACATATAAAATACGTCGAAACCACCTACTTTCTTATAACAAAAATCTAAATTGTAGAAATTTTATATAATCTATATTCTAAAGTTACAAAAATTTTCTTTATTTCAATATGTATCTATATAAATTAAAGTTTGTGTTAAATAAAAATTTGTATCGGGTTAGTTAAGTAGGTCAATCACTTACTTTTAAGAATGTAACATTTCACAAGCAAAAAATAAAAATTAAACCCGTCTTTATTTTCGAAGGAGTGCTATGTAGCAAAATAACCCCAAATAATCCCACACCTGGAGGTACCTCATTTAGAAGGTGAAATTTCTACGTATGCAGTAACTATAAAACAATATGTAATTACTAAATTATTAAATATTGCCAGGTTATTAAAAGAAAACTAACAGTGCGAACTTTTTTAAAAATAGGTAAAGTGATTTCTAAGTGAAGTTAAAGAGGCTTGAAACATAAAGAATATTAATACATAAGAATAGAGTTAGTAATAGGAGTGTTTAAAAACTTTATACATATACAGTCGACTCTGGGTATAACGAACCTTCCTATAACGAACTCTGGCTATTGAACTCAAAATTTTGAAAGTTCATAATAGTTCGGAATAAAAAGTGGCATGGATTCTTAAGAAAACATAGTAATTTTGTATAACGAACTTTTTTTTCTTCTAGAATCTTCAGTTCATTATAGAAAGAGTTGACTGTATATAGAGATTACTTCAATGAGTTTTATCGTAACAAGATTTGGGTATAATAAATTACCGATCTTTGAATATAATATTGATTCGATATGATAAGTGAACCTTTTTTTTGTTAAAAAAGCGATAGAGAATTTAAGAATATTGTATAAATGACCAATAATAATGTATTATTCAATTGCATGTGATCAACCAATTATAAGAAAATGTACGTATTATTATTTCACATGATCTGAGACTTATGATTGGTCTAATGTCACATGATTAAAAATGGGCATGCCCCTAAGGGCATGCCCAATTTTTAAAGCGTGCCCCAAACCCTAATCACAATACTCTAGCACTTTTATATTTGAAGCCGCTTTTATATTTCTTGTCAAGATTTATTAGTTGACATGAACGCATATACTAAACACATCAAACATGTCAGACAAGCATTCAAACGAAAAAATTTGATAGCATTGATATTATTGTTATAGCGATCTGTCAAATAATCATTAATAATACGAGAATAACTTTTATTATATCAGACGAAAAATCATTCGAAAACAATGTGCCAGCTTAAGCTAACTTACTTGAGCTGGCTTGAGCCGGCTCGGTTTGGCTTTTTGAGCTAAGCCAGAGCTAGCTCAAGTCGATCCCATCCCTAGTTCTTTTCGCTCCCATATCTAACAAAACAAAGTAAATATATTTTGCTTAAAATGCTAAACTTAAGAAAAAACTTTTATTCAATTTGCATTTCTATTTTTAAAATACGTTACCTGAATATAACTTTCTGATAAGAAGATCATTTGTGCGTTAATTTCTTCAACGATCAAGTCTTGAATTTGATACCATTGATCTTTGCCGCGATGTTGAACATGCACTTTGTAAATACCTTTACCTTTTCCCGGCTTACCTTCATGACAAATATTGGCGATTAAATCATAATGTGTGCTAAGATTTTCAGCACTAGAATTTTCTAAGTCTAAAAATTGTTGTTAGTGAACAATAAATTAATATAAAAAATTAAACTTCGAACACATAACACATATTTATGGTCACTAACATTCTCCCATATCGAGATTTTTAATAGGAAAATTGACAATTGTTGGATTTTTCTCAGCAGCCCAATTATTTTTGGTGAAGCGTTTTATATGAAATATAATGTAATTAGGTAGGCGTACCAATTGTGACCTTTTTAAAGTACCAGCGGATTCCTAAAATTATTGAATTTAATATAAGCCCGTCGCTAAAAGCTTTATTAACTAACGAATGAAATATTACCTGAGGCGTACGGCCATCGTATTTCGACAATATCGTCGTCAAAGCAATCTAGTATAAGTATATGAGATAATAAGAATTTAAATATTGTAAATATATATACATGTATAGATATGTGTAAATAAGTAAATAAAGAGGGCAATATACTTGTGGAATAATGTTTTTTTCAACCTCATCTTGGAATAATGGTGGCGGTGGTAAGTCCAAATTTAATAAAAGAAATGGCGACCTTGTTGTTACAATTTCTAATTTATCGAGGTAAATAGTCAAGAAATCGCTTAAAATCAAAAAGAAATGAGTACAATATGATATACAACCTCTGTCAACGTCAAACGATCGATCTTTTTCATCGACATCCGTTTTCACAATAACTAACTGTGATTCTACCTTGACCTCACCCTGGAATATTTTGTGAATTATGCCTAAGAAAATTAATGAATTAAAGAGTAAAAGTAAACATTTAATTTTTTTTGTTTTTTAATAACCATTATAATCCTCATAAACCAAAATATACGTCATGCATACTACTATTTTGTTTTTTTGATCCACCCAAATCTTTATGCATTGAATTCAAAAACCAACACAGAAAGTCAATTGGATCACTTTGTTCAGCAAGTTTAAACCTTTTATTACTGGCATTAGAAATTTCCTGAAGTAGTTCATGAGGACTGACTTGGCCCTTAAATGCTTGGGGATTCCAAATTTTGCGAACAAGAATGCTAAATCGTTGTACTAATAATTGCAGAAACTTAGATCGAATAGGAATATTTGATAATAGATAATATAATCAGAAATAAATGATTACCCAACTGAGTACTATTTTCAAAATTTTGCAGGATGAAATAATCTCTAAGCGGTGGAATATGCGCCAATGCTTGTATTATCACATTAACATAATCATTGGCTTTTACATTATTGAGGCCTACAAATCCTGATGAGATAAAAAGTAATCAATAAGAACATATATAATCGTGTGTGTTTTATTAGTCAATTTGCACGTTACCTGGTAAATATTTCTTATTATTTAAATCATACGAGTGTTTTGTATTCTGGTCTAACAGAGCAACTTGTTCTCCGGTGAATGTTGGATGAAGCACATACTGATCCAACTACGGTAAGTACATTTTTTGTGTTGATGATGAGTACAAAATACGTGTTATAATGTCATACCTTTATATCATTCAAGGAAGAATCTTTTACTTCATATCCATCAGGTAAAACATACACCTAAACGAATCAAGATGGAAACAAATTAAATTTCGAAGCTTAACAATACCTAATAATAAATTAGTTCCACATACTTGTAGTGTATGTAAATTGATAAAGACATGATGGTCCTCATGCAGACTATGGAAATAAGCGTGTGAATTACGCCCGCGCCCTGTCGAAATGCGTATGCATTAGTAAAAGTAGAGCTATTGAAAATTTTCAAAAAAAATTCGCTGATCTGTGCTTCCTTACCTTGAAAATATTTACCACACACTAAACAAGCATATACATTTAAATTTGATAAGGATACTGAGCAGACTTTTTCGAAATCAAAGTCCAACATATGACGATTTATCTAAAGAATATACGAATCAATCAAAAAATGTGAATAGTTTCGCGTTCCAATTCAGATGTCTGATCAAATAAAGACTCACCGTATCTAAATATAAGGAACTTGAACTCGAATTAGATGATTGGTTATCAAGACGAAGCCTTTTGGATTCTAATTCAGATTCTTCATGGCTACGCTTTTTCGCCGCCTATTGTACTTATTTCAGAACTCATTTCTCGCGTGTTTCTACGGATTACATTTCTCCGATACTGGACAGTTATCGAAAATTGTGTAATATGGCACGCCAATCAAATTACACGAACAATAAGCATTGACATGTGACTTTATTTATTTATACTTTTGAACTCCCCGTTTCGATCAGGCTGACGATCATACACTCTTTCTTGTTTAGAGGGAACTTACGACCACCATGAACGAACAACAAAGACCATTTGTGTCGAACGTTACAGGCTATCCAGTGCAATATGCCACACAGCCTATCGCACCGAGGGGAGTGCAACCGACTCCGTATCAGTATTCTCGAATGCAATATCCGATTGGGCAATCGCAGGTTCGTTCGTTCACAAAGAATTATTTTCTCGCGTCGAATTCCTGCGTGCTTGTCAAAGTTGAAGGTCACGGCAGTTTTGCCTTAATCTATCGTGCCCATTTTGGATTATGCACCATTTGCACCGGAAGCACGGCTTTTTCTTAGTGTAACATGCATCTACGTGCATACTTCTGTATTAAGAGAAAATAAAATCCAAGCTGATGTATAATTTACCCTTTGCTTAAGAGAACATATATAATTTATTAACAACTTATTCACAACTATATTGTTATATTCAAACCTTTATTTCTTTGCAGTTAATGATGAATACACCTACTCAACCTCGCCCAATTCATAATGCTGGTCCGCCAGCTGTAGCGTCTAGCCCTGCAACAGTGGTGCGAAAACGTACTATTCCAGAAACTGCTACGATGAATACAATGAATACACAAGTAAAGTAAGTTTTTTAACTTTCATCTAGATCATTTTCTTTTCAACTTAGAAACTTAATGCAAACATTTTTTGAACAGAAAAAAGCGGGCAATTGACAGAAACATCCCAGAAAAGGTATAAAATTTGATTATATGGATTGATCACTTGTTTGTGTGAAACTAAATTATTTTACTTCACACTAGCTCGATACACTCGTTCCAGAATCACGATTATATACAGAACTCCAAGAATTTGAAAGAAAGTTGGACTCGACAATTGTTCGCAAAAAATTAGAAATAACGGAATCTTTACCAAAGCCGATGAAGGTATTAAATTTGTACAGTTTTTTATCATAATACGTGAGCATTGTCTTCGAATTGTTTTTAACACAGTATAATATTGTCAATAGGTTAAGCGTACCCTCAGAGTATTTATATCAAATACATCATGTAATCAGCAACCTGTACAGGAAGTTGAAGGAAACGAGATCGATTATGGTAGTAACATTCCGGCCTGGACATTAAAGATTGAGGGAAGGTTACTTGATGTAAGTTGGTTTAATTCGTGTTGCTATAGTATTTGAAAATTTATATTAAATCCCTAAATTTTTCATTCAGCCTATAAATGCGAAAAACACCAGACCACCTACTCGAAAATTTTCTCATTTTTTCAAGTCCATAATTGTCGAGTTAGATAGAGATCCCGAGATGTATCCCGAAGGCAATTTAATTGAAGTAAGAAGCTAGAGAACCTGTGTTTTTACATTTTTTAATTTATGATTTTAACAATTTTTATAGAGTTTATTTGTTGTCATAAAAATTTTCAATACTAACAATTAATTTTGTTAAATTACATAGTGGAACAAATCGCCAGATGCTGATGACGTTGACGGATTTGAGATAAAACGTAAAGGTGACTCAAATCTCAAAGCAAAAATATTCCTAAATCTAGATCAACAGCCACCAAGGTATAAATTATCACCTGAATTAGAAAGTATTTTGGATATACAAGAAGAAACAAAACCAGGCATTATTATGGCTTTATGGCAGTATATAAAAGTATACAATCTTAATATATTACATTTTAAATTAATTAAACATGTATGTGCGTACATTAACTGATTTTGATATTTGGATTTTTGTTTTAGCATAACAATTTGCAAGATAATGAGGATAAACGGATAATTAACAATGATATGCGATTATACGGGGTAAAATTCCTAAAAATATCCCGATGTTTATATAAATATCAGATTATAAATTGTCTAATAATCTGATTTTAGATTTTTAACGTTCCACGGATCGCTTTTCCACAAATTCCAGAATTGATAAGCAAGCATTTGGCGCCTGTTGATCCCATACTGATAGAATATTCAATTCGGTATGAGTATGAAAAGTTTGGCTATTTTTGTCGGGAACACTGAAATCGGATGATGCGAAATTTGGGAGTTTTATTTGAAGCATCAACCCTACTAAAATCCGCATTATAAAACCCAATCCATAAATCCTAATCCAACTCAAGAAAAAAAAATACTCCAAAGTTGTTTAAAATTCATATTAAAACAAGTTCGAATTTCAGCATCATTCGATTTTAGCATCATCCCTAACATTCTCATATGAACATCTATTTTTTGTTCTAAACAAGAGTTGATAAAGAATTTCATCAATCGCGGTATGCTTATGACATTGAAGTCGAACTTGATGATCCAAATAAAATGAGGCTTGCAGCACTTGCATCAAATTCTATCAATCAAAAAGAAATACAGAATTTAGACGATAAGGTTTGAAACATTATCATATTTCAATTGATAATCACAAATAATTAATACTAATAATTCTTTATCTGTCGTAGATCGTTCAATGTGTACAAAGCATTAATAATTCTAAAACCAAGCGTGACTTTTTACTAAATTTTGCAAATTCACCTATAGACTTTATTAATAAATGGATTGCTAGTCAAAGCCGTGATTTAGAGGTTTTTATTTGGTGTTTTATTAATAATAATGAAATTTATAAATTTATACAATTTATATTTATATAATTATAGGTTATTTTGGGTGAAAGTAAAGTTAACCTCGAAGAACAGCGAAAGTCTGGATTCTATCAACAAGACTGGGTCAATGAAGCCGTTTTTCATTACACGGCTGCACTGAATAAAAGCAATAAAAATTTGTTAATGTGATTTAAAGATTGTAATTATTTGTGTATGATCCAGATAATACGTGTGCTATTATGGGGATGCATTCTTGTTTATAATTTGACATAGTAATATTCGAAAATTACTGTATGCTTATTAAGTAACCCAAATATTAGCATTAGTAAATTACATGAATGAAGATACAGAAAATTAGAAATGTTTTTATAGCTTGGTTTTATTTATACATTTACACTTTGCTAATTAAATTAACATCAATGCTAATTAAATTGATAAAGTAACCGGAGCTATAATGGCGCGGTTAAGAATAGTTATAAATAAAGGTTTTCAGGAAAAGATAGCTATTTATAATAAATTAAGATTTATACTGCATCTAATGTACTTTAGAAAAAAAATATATATCGCACCATGCGACACAATTATATACCGCATTTATAAGGACAGGTTAACGTGAGATCAAAACAATAAACAAAAAATGGTTTACTTTGTTTTAATTAGGGTTAGGGCAAGTTCAGCTTCGGGGCATATTATATAAAAATTTTGCGAGGAATTTTTTTTGTTAGGACACGAAAGGTTGTTTCCTACGTACGTACGTATTGGGGTGATAAATCAGTTAAGTAATCAAGACTATGTTAGCTAACTACAGAACTATAGAATTTGATATATTGCAGATTTTTATGTTACACGAAGATAATTTTCGGTGATAGATTATTACGACTAATGTTTTATTACAATATTATTAAGTAATCTCTTCTAAATGATTCAACTCATTATTAAAGCAAAGAATTACCTTGAAACTTTCACAAGTTGTTTATAAGATTCCTAAGAATGAAGCTATGTTTCAAGATTCTTTATTAATATGCAAGTTTTAGGCATTCGTCTTGTAGAATGTTCTAAATTTCATTAATTAGAACGAAAACTATAACTTAAATATACAAGTTCAAAATTTAACTAGAACTTCGCAAAAAAATCAAACATAGTTACATTGAGATAGTTGGGACGCAACGTTTTCGATCGAAAGAAATTAGAAAAATAAGCACAATAAGTGTGTACTTTAGAACTTTACGCTTTCTTTATAATTAAAGTATATAATATAAAATCGTTCGGTTGATCATTCTAATTTTGCTGATAAAAATCTGATCATAGTAAAATTACTAATATACCTGATATAGGTTTGATTACTTAGTTGATTTATCACCCTAGTACGTATGTAAAATCAAGTACCCTAGCCATGAATCCACCAGGGCGACCAAGAAAATTCCGGGTCACGTGCATTTCGATCATTTCGGCCCGCCGACTGTGTAGGGTTGGAGGCACGGGGCATGAGGCATGCCTAGAGGGAGTAGATTAGAGGGTCCACCATAGGGTACCTGGCATAGCAGCCATTGGCATGCCACTATGGCATGCCAATTGAAGCATATCTATGGCATGCCTAAATCTCAAATAGGTATTAGGCATGCTATATATATAGAGTTCTGTTATATAAAGAAAATCTTAGGCTAAAAATCACTTTTGTCTCTAAATTCTTGGTCAGAATCCAATAAAATTACAAAATTTGTATAATATAAAAAACATAAAAAATTATAATAAATAACAAAAATTTATTGACAATTAACTTCTAACTTTTAAGTAAAAGTTTTTGACATCTTATTTTAGTTATAATATAGTTTTTAATATTAATTAAATATATTGTAATATGTTATGTATCGCATGTTCTGGGTGAGGTTAGATGGATTGACATAGGAAACTCAGATCAGAGGGTTTAATTGGGTAGCTCAAGTAATAGTGGGTTACAGGTACGGCATCTAGTGTAGCACCTAGTATATAGGTAGTATACTTAATTAGGCACCCAAAAGGTGCAGATATGGCTAGAATATATCCTCGTCAGAATGTACTTGTCTGGGGCCCCTTTGATAAGGGCACTACATGATCCTAATATCTAATAAAAGCGATAAGCCGAAGAGGCTAACCTTGACTATAATAAAAAAAAAAAATTAAATAGTTTAAAAGATAGTCAAAACAAAAAAATTTATAATGTTTATTTATTGACTACTTAGATTAATAACTATATATCTATTTTGATTATAAATTAATAAAATTAATTTTTGATTATTTAATAATTTATAACAACCTGTGTTTGTTTGAAAATTAAAAAAATTCTAGTAGATCTCAAAATATTTAAAATCAAAGATGTAAATATAGAAATCTACAAATTTCTAGTTACACAAAATATTATACTTTGTATAATTGGCAATTTGTAAAATTTATATTCATATCTTTGATTCTAAACATCTTAAGATTTACTAAACCAATTTTAATGATCTAAATACTATAAGAACCAAAAAAAATTGCTCTACAACCTTAATTAGAAGCCCAACAAAACCTAATTTAATAATTTTTTTTTTAATTTTCAAAAAATTAATTTTTTAGAGATTGAACTTATAACTATGTTAACTAAACTTAAACCAGGTATAATTTAAGAATACTAGTGTTCCTATCCATTATATTTATCCATTAGAAATCCGTAATCCGTTATCCGAAGTATCCGATCCAAATTTATCGGATATCCGTTTACTATTGATATTCGAATAACTATCCGAATATCTGTCGGATTATTCGGATATTCTGATCTGTTTATCCGATACGGATTATCCAGATAATTCAGATACGGATAAATGATTTATCCGGATTGGAACTCTAAAGAATACACATGAAAGCAAATTAAATTGCTGATAGCATTTAAAAAAAAAAAAAAACTCTTAGCGTTAGTTTTAGCATTATATGATATTGATGAGAATAAAGAAAATGAATGGTTCTTTATCGAAAACTATAACTACATCATTGCAGAAGTCTATAATTATATCGAATAAGATTTCTTTTTTACATTGTTAATGCACTTTTGATCTATATATAAATTACAAAATTTATGCTATTAAATAATATGCTTTGATTTTTGGTTAAATATGGATCAATTCTCATTATACAATAAATGTATCCGAAGTTACTGGTTCTTCATGCTACGATGAAAAACAGAAATTCTTAGTCGAAGTCAATCTTAATGAATGGTTGCTACCAAGTGCGAAAAATCAATATTCATACCGTAATATAATCATATAAAATACGTGCTTTTTCTTCATCCCAATAAATCCAGGTGTGTCGATATATGAGGGCCCATACATATGGGCAAAAGAATTCCTGTGATTCAGATTCTTCCTCATATTGGAATTTGAGATCGGGAAATTCCTATATTAACAATAATAAAAACTAGTAACATTAATCAAGTTAAAATTGAGAGTAAATGCGATTGAATAATTAGTTTGCAAACCTTGAGACGACCTGGTGGCCAAGTTCGTGCTATTGTTTCTATTAGTTCAGAAATTTCTTCCGCTGACGGAGATTTCAAATTTGATTCTGAAATTCGAGTATGAAAATAACTAGTTACCTGTAAAAAAAGCGGTATACATCAAATTAATTGATGCCATAATATCACGATAAAGGATTATAAAAGGAAGTGATTACAATACGTTATTGATATTAGCAATTAGTTCCGAAAACCTTGGATGCGATTGAAAACGTGTAAAAAGGTCTTTTTTATGTAGTAGAGAATATATTAATTCCGGATTTGAATTAAGCCTTCGCGTCAGTACAGAATTAATAATTTCCAATACTAGGCAAACAAGATCGCCATAAATGGCAATATCATCGGACTACGTTGTAAGATATTTAATTCAGAAGATTATGCTTGAATATGAATAATAACAGCAACAAAGTCATAAACTCACATTGTCCTCTTCACCGTCTTGTACTCTTTTATACAGTTTTTGATATCTCTTTGCTACAATGTCAAACAAGCTATCAGATAAAGTCGGTAAACACAATTGAGTCGAATATGTGAGTACAGTGTAATACATATAATAGTCAGTTCTAACACTTACTTTACAAGTCGCTGTGCTACGTAAGGATGTATATCCTGAATACTGCTACCCAAATTAGCCATAATTGCTAGACAATTTGTGTGGAAATAGGCATCCTTAAGTAGTTCAAATTGGTAGTTTTAATATGTTGATGTATATATAAATACAAATGATTTAATGTATCTTACCCGATGAGAACAAAGATTATATTGTAATACACGTATTAGAACAAGATACGCGAGCCCACCTAATGATATTGATTTTAACAAGCGTTCTGTAAACCATGGTTGATATGTTATTTGCTGTAAATTTAAACATCGAGTTAAAGATAAACTTTAAAAAAATGGATTAAATAATTCAATATATATAATGACTACTAGTATTCGAAATAAAGATACAATTTTTTGAATATTTTCATTAAACACTTCGTCCTGACTGAATAAAATAAATATAGTGAGTAGAATATACATTTGCGAGTAATTAGTTTTGCCTTCAACACCGTCATAAAGCAATCGAAGTATTTGAAGTAGCTATTTATCAAAAAATGTCTTGATGTGAGCAAGAAGTTTTAAAATAAACCCAATAGCCCTTTTATTGACACAAATACATACAAGAATTTCGGGATCTAATCTTGATAATACATAAACCCTAAAATCTTCATTCTCAACCATTAAGAGGTATAAAATTAGGCATATCTCCTCACTTGGTAACTGACTAATGTGAAAAATATGAATTATTAGTCAATAATAATAATAACTAAAAATCAGAAGACTAAGACAACGAAATGATACTTGTGCGACCTACCGGCATATTAGTTGGTATAAAACTCTAAATGATATTGCCATATCACTATCCTCTGATACTAAACATTCAATATTAAAGTTGAATTGTAAAACTGTCATAAATGAAAAAAAAATTTAAAAGACTACAAACCTTGAGCATCCTTCAATAATTTGATCGATTCTCTAAATTTATTTTTGTCTTGGCCGGACTTTTTCCATTGAGAAGCAAGCAAAAGTAATACAAGCAAACTCCGCTCTGCTACGGGAGGCGGATCTGCAGGTAATGCTGCAGATGATCTCCCAGGAAACAGATATGAATAAGCATTATATACAACACCTATTATTACGAAAAGGTAGGTCATAACATTAATTTGATAGCAGTGGCAAGAAAAATCATTTAAACCCGAATATGATGGTTCTTACTTGTCGAAGCTGGCGGAGGAGATTTTTGTTCAACAAAGTTCATAACCAATCGCTTCGTAAAAATATCTATATCATTACTAACATGTAATTTAAAAATTTTATTTAACACACTTTGCATAAGCTTTGTAAATCAAAAATTGATTTCAGAATAAATACCTAAAACACGTCAACAAAATATTCAAAAAATAGTTATTATTAAGTTGATTAGCGGATGGCTGATGTATTTGAGTGGAGAGCAAGACCAAGAGTGTGTTGAGGCATTCTAGATAAAACTCGTATGCAGAAGCGTTCAAGCTTTTTTTTTTGGATTGTTTTTGATTTTGATTTTTTTTTTTTTTTTTTTTTTTTTTGTTTTTTTTATAGGAATAAAAAAAAAAATTTTTAAATTCTTAAACTACTAAACACAATAATATCACACTTTCTCGCAATCTTACATCGGGTCTAATGTTGATATAGCGGACACTAAACAATCTAATAATTGTTCGGATTTAGGCCTTGGATCCTGGACTACTTGTAAATCAATTACGAGTTTATTGGAATCAAGTTCTATCTGAGAGTGTTTATCCTCTTCACAAGTCAACCCATTTAACTTATGTTTATCTATGATAACATCTAAACAATGACCTATAAGACAATTATTTTAAGTTATCAAAAATTAAATTAATAAACATAATAAATATAATAAATTATAAAATTCTGTTTTCATAATTATTCTTAAACCCAACCTTCAAACTGGCGATGAATTTCGTCACGAGTCATATTTCCGATAAAGTGTTTGGAAAAGATTCTCACAAGAAATAAAGAATTATAAGCAGATATGGGGATATCACTATTTATCAGATGTAATTCCACTGTTAAAATAAATATGATATGATTAATTCTTGACTTTAATAAGAGTGAAATATTACCCAGTAAATTCTGGCTCCAATACACGACGCATTTGGCTCAGGCAATGGAGAAGTAAAGTATTAAAATTTGCAGTTTTTTCATTATTATTGGCTATCAAGTATAAATTAAGGTCAGTATACATAATTAGCATTAATTAACATTAACTAGCATTAATTATATTAATTATATTAATATAGACTCACCAAACTCAATTGCCAAGCTCACAGTGGCCATCTCCACGTCGTAGGCATCTTGCCTTAAATAATCAGATGTCAATACCAATACTAAATAAGATATAGAAACTGCTAGAACACTCGCATATAATAAATAATCCCATCATAAATAGCTACTAATAATTCTAACATTGAATAATCTCATTCTAGCCAGTAACTTACGGAGGACTCACCCAGAATTCGTGGACGGAAATTTTTCACAGAGGAGCATGGCATCCCAAACATCAGAACTGTAAGCTGGTAATATCTTATCAGAGCACAAGATTTTTAACAAATTATATTGGGTATTTGTAAAAATAACTATTTCAGCAAAAGATTTTCGTTGTATGAAAGACTGCTGACTGCCGACTACGAGGTTAGGACGACGAGTGTTTGGAGAAACAAGGCCAGGACTTAGAAAAGCCTGACCGGGGGAGGATGGTATTGCTGGAGTAGTAATGCTTGGCTGTGGGAAAAGCAGATCATTATCAGCATTTGAAGTTTCTAAAAATGTTGGAACTTTGCGTCCTTGAAAAGATCTTGACGCAGTTGAGTAAGTGGGTTCTAAAGGCGAGTTATAAGCAGTTGTAACAGGTGGTAAAGGAACCGGAGAAGGGCTATACAGTTGAGGAGGACGAGAAAGTGGAACGGGCTGTATAGATTTAGGCATATGGATCTATTCGTGCCAGATATACCGGCAAGTTACGAAGACAAAAGTGATTGATACTACGTCTACTGTATATCTAGTGTTACGCTTGGGTGCACAAAAGAATTGTGCCATATGATAACAAGCACGTTTACAATGTTTGCAATGAAACTATGTACGTACGTACGTACGTACGTATAATTATCGTTATGATGCAATTATTAGTTTGTATTACCTATACGCGAATTTTGGGTAGTGCTCCAAGTTGGGCAACTTAAAAAATTTCTTTTGTTAACCAATAAACATGAGACAACTAGTTACAACTGTAATGATGCTCATTATCATACGTACACCGAGAAGCTTGTGCTAACCATGAATAGAGCTTCCAAGCCGAATTAATGTTGGTGTTAGAGTCTAATACTCTAACCATGTCAGTCGAGAATCTACTTGAACATCCGCATTCTGATTTCCACACTCTGATTGGACGAAATCAATATTCAAAATGTAATAAACTTTGAGCGAAGATACTTCATTTAAAATTAATACAGTAATACATTTTTTTATTTTAGTTATGCAGTCGTATAATCATTATATAAACGCGCAAATTTAAAAATACTTTTATACAATCAAAATTCGTTATAATCACTATCAATGTGATAAAAAAAATACTTTGTTATCTACTATCCTTCTGTAAAATCACATTTAAATTGATTCATATAACTGTATAAAGACACCAAATGTATGGTTAGTTAGATTCGAGTTTGATGTTTGTACATAAAATCTTGATTCTGATTCCGTATCAAGACGCGTGAATGATTTTTTTTTTATATTAAACCCTCGATATGGCTATTGTTAACCCCTGTAATTAAGCATCATGTGATATTCGATAATAATGTAACACTAATGCCAAGAGTGCTAAGTAGTGCTGAATAGTACTAACTATCACTAAATAGCACGGATAATACCACTAGTTTAAGGTACTTGCTACATTAGTAGCACTAAATAGTACTGAGAAGTGTTAAAAAGTGCTAAAGGGTGTATTAATAGAAATAATAGCAAGAGACTATAATGATCAAAATGTATAAATAGCCTCACTTATCGCTCTTGTAAAAAGGCAGTTCGAATTAATAACTCAATAATAATAAAGGAGTAATCGTATCTTCATACACGAACAACTCAAATACTTTATTAAATAAAACTAACAATTCCCAGAAGAGTAATCGTGTCTTCATACACAGATAACTCGAATAAATAGTAGATCAGTTGTAGTGTCTTCATACACGTATAACTCGAGAACTTTATTGAATAAACTGTAAACTTGTTATACGACTACTTGTATCTTCATATACATTTAGCCGTTTGCTCTTTCGTAACTGCAAATCACCATAATCCTCTTAAAGCGTAACTAAAATAACCCTATATTTTATTTAAGCATAAATCGGCATTCGTTATCAATCATCTATTATATCCGTCGCTAAAGTAAACTGTTATACCAAACTTATAAGAGGTAGTTTCGGGTGTAACACTATCGAGGGACGCCATGGGCGTACATTTATTAAAATTTATTATAAATGCGTGAATAAATTAATAGTAAAACATTATACAGAGAAGTCTCTCTAAGTGCAACTTGTAGGAATCGAACTTTTGACAAGCATTTTGAGAATAAATAAGAAAATTGCAATTATAGAAGATCAATGTTTGAACCAAGGTTCAAACTTGTATTTAGACAGAGATATCACTGTAATAGAAATGTATCGTAAATAATTGAAAAGTAAACATCACTGTATTTATTCTCTCAACTTTTATGTTACATAATTTTATTTATTTATTTTTTTTTGCATTAATATGAGTGCCACAAAAATATTCTACGTACAATTTGTCTTGCTGAACTTAAGTCCTTAAATGCTAATTCTGTAATAAACGAAATATACAGTCAGACCTCTCTAAATGGTCCTAAATAAAAAAATCGCAAAATCATACGTACATACGTACGTAGATTATGCATTTAGGGAGGTTGCATTTAGAGAGTCTGACTGTAATACGTACGTACGTATGTAATTTAGAGTTCCAATCCGGATAAATCCATTTATTCGCATCTGAATTAGTAAAAATATCGATTCGCTGGGAATTAGCGGAAACTTCGTTTCCGCTTATTCACATACGGTCAGGGTATTATTAATTAGAATAGATTAGTGAGTCCACCAAAATTCAGCAAATCGGCCCGAATTTGGTTCGGAATAGGCCGGAATTGATAAATTTTTCTAAAACCACCCAAAATTTTACTAATAAAGTGGCAGCCAATGCACTAAGTAAAGCTGCCCAAATGATAATTTTGCTATAATATAGTTGGCGCTTAAAACCACCTGGCTCCGGCCTATTCCTAATCCAAATTCGGGCCGATTTGCTGAATTTTGGTGGATCCACTAATCTACCTTATTAATTATCGTTATAGAGTTCCAATCCGGATAAATCCGTCATCCATTTATCCATATCTGAATTTATCCGGATATCCATTTACTATTGATA